TTTATCTCTGTAACAATGTAAGAAATAAAAATGTATATTATTGTGTTTAGAGTCGTTTTTTATCTGTTTATTTTAATTCATTTCCAATCTTATCAATGCGAAAAACATTATGAGCACCAACTACCCATTTTATTACTGTCGTGTGCAGTGATCAGTTCACGCAAAGTCAAGGATCGACATAATTGTGAGGGAAATACCTGTAACTTTCTTTTTTTTAACGGCAAACATTGAACTTGTCGTTCTTCGACATGGAAGGTGCCGACAAAACAACCAGCGTGTATAAGCAGCAAGGTGCACTTTTAATGTGTCGTGGCTGTAAGTCCTCTCGTTAGATGTCCGGAGGAAGTTTGGAGAAAGGAGAAAAAAATAGAAACTCTTGTGCTGTCCACGCCGTCTGACCAGGGTCGAAGTCACGTGGCATTCTTACTATAATCATTAAAAGATGAGCCGTAAAAATGGTGCTAGTTACTAGACCATGGTTGTGTGCTGATGATGTTATTTAACTTAAAGTTTTAAAAGTTCGTTTAGTTTCTCTAATACGTGAGGCCACACTTATGAGAAATTTGAAAAATACTTTTATATCAACTTAGAAGTTGGCAAAATTTGTTTCGTACTTATTAAAAAAAAGACTTCAGATTTCAAACTATCAGCCTGATTCTGAGATAATACAAAGGTAAAATTAGAGAGTTTTCTGGATTGTCTGATTAATCCTCGGTAAAGACAGTCAAAAACATAAGTGCCACGCTAATTTTACGTGGCTTGCCCGTCTGGCCCAGGGCTCGAAAAAAACTCGGAAATTTTACCCATCCCCGAGGACGGCTTGTCCAACAATGTACCCGTCCTCCTGTGAAACTAACGCGTAGCTTCTAAATAAATAAAAATATAATTTTCTCTTATTTATTACACATTTATATAAATTGCACAATTAATCAGTCGTTACTAGGATTACAAATGCTAAGATTACATTATACAGTAATAAAAGAAATACTAGGTTACCAATAGTAACCTAGTATTTCTTTTATGAAATAATTTCTTTCTTTTATAAAATAATTTAAATGACAAATGTCAAGTTATCTGGAATGTCAATTTATCCGAGGGTACTGCGTTTTTTAAATAAATCAAATATAACGTTTGCCAGTTCCACAATCAGGCCAATGATTTACAGAGGTTTCTGCCCAGAAATCTGAAAGGGGTTTTCCATTTAGGTAGATGTTCTTAATTGCGTTTAACGCTTCTTGTTAAGACCAGTACTTAATGTGTGTTTTTTTGAAAGTTCATTGCTGAAAAGCCCCCTTTCAACCTCTGCAGTCCTCCCAGATGGAGAAACCATCAATTCCACCATGCGTAGTATGTTGCTGCTGTATTGTGGGTCATTTTGCTGCATTTGGTCTGACGAAGGAATTAACAGGATTTCTAGATTAGAGGGTCATTTTTGAAGTGAGGCGCTACGCTACACTCTTGTAAGATAACAAAAATTGAAAATTTATCACGAACATTAACCGGAAAATGGCCGTCCACGCGGACGTCGGATTCGAGGAATTCATTGTCCGCGGGGAATTTTAGATTGCCGAGGACGGGAGGACGGGCGGTTTTTCGAGCCCTGGTCTGGCCACAACGGTAAATAACTACAAACTAAATTTGCAAATATTAGACACAGTTTGCTAGTTTTCTAAAAGGTTTAGCATGTCATATCTGATGGTAGAAATCATATAAATCTCGGTGCGCTGCCGCGAAGCGGCATTAACCGATTCCTCTGTAGTAATAAATCGATGATGAGGAGTAGTGAGGTGGAATGGAGATGGGGGGAAGAGGGGGTGCTTAGCACCAAAAATCGAGAGTGTATTTCGTGTGCTAGGGCAACATATCCCTAAGGAAAAAGGCAGTGATTGGGCTAAATTTAGTGTTGTCGTCAATTAATTCAATATCTAGGAGTGAGTTAAAATTGCTGGTGATACAGGTTTTTGCTTCATCGTAGAAATTTTTGTTTAAATTTTTTATATAGACGTTGATGTCATCAATTTTAAGATCCCTTTTTATACTATTATTGCTAATGCATTTAGAGGCGCCGACGAGTCTTCTTATAATCTTCCCTTCTGCCATGGAGAGTTTATTTTTTAAATGATCACTTAGAGTGTTAATGGCTGGGCAGGCATAAGTTAGAATTGGCCTAATTGCCATTAGATAGACAGTGCGCTTGCATTTTAAGTCTAAAGATGACTTCGAGTTTAATATAGAGTTGAGGGCCCAATAGACAACATTCGCTTTTTTAATAATTTTATTTATGTGTTGTTTCCAACTTAAATTAGAGGTGATGATGACTCCTAGATATTTTGCACTCCTTGTGGGTTTAATGATCTGCTTGTATAGGACTATATCAGGAATAGTTCTACTTTTCTTTTTACTATTGAAAATAATCATTTGGCACTTTTCCGGGTGTAGTTTTATCTTCCATTGTGAGCACCATTTTTCGATATTGTAGATCTTCTTTTGCATGTATTTGAAGGCTTGTAAATGACTCATAGATTTTGTGATAATTGCTGTATCGTCGGCATATAGGGCCGTGAATTCGTTTGGATTATCGTTATTAATAGGGAAGTCAGCTGTGTATAAGATGTATAGTAGTGGCCCGAGGATACTACCTTGGGGCACACAGGCTTGAATGTTTTTATAAGCTGAGAACGAGCTATCGATTTTAATTCTGAACTTTCTATCAGTAAGTAATAAGGTCTAATGAAATATTCATTTTATGTAGTTTTACGATAAGTCCCTTATGCCATACTCGGTCGAAGGCCTTGGCAACGTCGAGCATAAGCATAAGGGCTGTTTCGTGTTTAAATTTAGCATTACTGATGTATTCGAGGATGTTTACAAGCTGCTTGGTAGTTGATAGGTGCTTCCTAAAGCCATATTGTTGGTTTGGGAGTAGGTGAATATAATCGTTGAGTCTTCGTTGAATAATTTTTTCAAAGATTTTTGATAACATAGGGAGTAGACTAATAGACCTGTAGTTTTCAGGATTAGAGGCTGTTTTACCGGGCTTGGCGAATAGAATGATGTCTGATTTCTTCCATTCCTCGGGAAAATATAGGTTTTTAATGGAGGCATTATAAATATTAACAATTTGGAATATTTTATTTCGAGGGAGATTTTTTATCATGATGTTCGTAATGTTATCGTGCCCAGGAGCTTTCTTATTTGCAGGTGACCTCGTCTACTGATGTCTGTTCGATTTTGTTCTCAATATGGTTGTCTTGATTTATAATATTATTGTAGTAGTCATTTATAATTTTATCGTTTATGGGGCAGGTATTTTCAGTATTGTTGCTGAATTGGGTCTCCATAGTGTTGGCGAAAATGCTAACTTTATCATCAGTGGTATATACTGGGCCGTTTGACCCTTTTAAAGGCATTTTGTTCAGAGGTGATCTCTTCAGAGACTTCGTCATTTTCCAAATTGAATTATCACTATTGTTCAGACTTTCGAGTTTCTCATTCCATCGGCTGTTTCTATGTTGATTACATTTTTCTTTTATAATTTTGTTTAATTTATTGAGTTGACGTTTAAGTTCCGGATTGAAGTTTCTCTGGAATCTTTTTCTCAGTTTATTGTTTTTTGATGTTATGAGGTAGTTTATAGTTGTTGAGGTTGATGGGTTTGAGTTCTATAGCTTCATTATAAGCATAAGTAATGGCGTTAGAGATATTATTAATGGAGGAGTTTATATCATCATTAGAAATGGGGGCTGAATCTTCGTTAGAATCGGTAAGATGAAGGATGTTGTGGTATAGAGTCCAGTCAGTTTTTCGCCTAAATTGGTTGTTATCCTGCATTTCGAGGGTAGTAGTGATCCAGACAGGGAAATGATCGCTGCTAAGTTCATCTAGGGTTTCAATAGCAAAAGGTGAGCTTGTATTTGTAATCATGAAATCTAAAATGTCTGGAGGGTGCATTACACTATGATGGAGATAGTTGGGTTTTTCAGGAGCGTAGACTGTGAGTCCGAATTCTTTAATGAGCTGGTGCAGTTGTCTTCCAAGTTTGTTAACTTTTCTACAGCCCCATATGTTGTTTTTAGCATTAAAATCACCAAGAGCGATCGTTGGAAGATTGGGAGGGAATAGTTTTTTCATAAAATCTGTTGAGAATTCATTACACGGTGGGTTGTAGATGCAAGAAATTTTAATATTATTGTTGTTTATTTGTAGTAAAATGGAGGTTTCTTCTCTATTATTTTCGCTGCTCAGGTTGTATATTGATGCTTTGTACTTCTTATGGATAAATATCGCGCACCCGCCGCCTGTGCGAATAATACGGTCACATTTAAAGGTGTTGTAGTTTGGTACTTTCAGTCTATGGCTGGGCTTTGTGTGCGTCTCAGTAACTGCTATTATGTCAGGGTTGAAATTTGCAATGAAATCGAGAAATTCGGCGAATTTTGTTAGGATGTTGTTTGCATTCCATAGAGCTATGGTTAATGGGGTGAAGGAGAATTTTCTACACATGATCACTGCTAGAGGTTCCTTGGTTTGGGCTGGTTCGGGATGGCTTGCGAATTATTTAGGAGTTGCTGTTGGAAAATGGATATGCATTTTGCAAGGTTGTTGGTGGCTTCCACAGCTTGTTGTAGTAATAATGCTGGGTTTAGATTTATTGGTTGTTGGGTGCTATTGTTTTGGACAACATTAGCATAACTAAATCTTGAGCTGGTGGTATTACTATTGAAATTGTTTCTAGTTTCTCTGTTACTGAAGGATCTTCTATTATTTATTCTATTGTACATTTTTTCAACAATACTTTCGTATTTAGGGCATTTACTGTAATTTACTGGGAGATCTCCACCACAGTTGCAGCATTTTGGAGGTTCGTCATTTGTTTTTGTACATTCATTGGTAGCATGGTTCCCTGCACATTTTGCACAGCGGTGAGGATGGTAGCGCAGTCTTTGGCCGCGGAAGAAATCGGTGGCATTGTGAGGGGCGGTCGGATTTTCTGTATTCTTCTATATTGATGCACATATTGAACAGGTATTGTAAATGTCTTTACAGCTGGGGATTTCCTTGTTTAGGGTTGCGACAAAAGTGGACATAGGAATTTTGTTACCATGGTTTCGTTTATACATTTGAGTAACGTTAATAACAGAAGAGTTTACTTTTGCTAATTCGTATTGTACATCTTCTGCACTATATTCTTTTGGTACTTTTTTGACGACGACTCTAAAGGTACGTTCTTCTGGTAGGCTGTATGTGTGATGAGCAATATTTGCTTCGTTTAAAATTGTTATTATGCGACATCTGTCTTCTGTTTTCTTGGTTTTTATAGCGAAGTAATTACCATTATTTTTTGCGTTATAATCTTTTATATCCTTATCTTGGAGTTGTTTATTAAAATCCTTCCAGTTGAAATTGTTGTCCTTGATTACGATGGGGGGTATTTTGGATATTTTCTTTTGAAGAGTTAAGTCGTCTTCTGGGTTGGGGTCATTAATAGTATGATTTATCCTAGTTGGGGATGGTGGTGTTGTCTGAAACCTTTTTGTTTTTGAAAAAGAAATATTATTTCCTCTGCAATTCTGGTTTAAAGTATCAGGAAAGTTTATGTCCATATTGTTATCACGTGAGTCATTTTGATTAAAAAATGGGATAGAAGGAAATTGATTTTTACTATCTTGGGCGAAAGTATCAATTTTTTCCGTGGTGGTTTCTGAGAGGACACTAAATAGGGTATTTTCGTTGGATATTTTGCTTTTGAGTTCGAGATATTTATTTTTGAACTGGTTATGGTGGTCATTAATTTTATTCAGAGTCTGTGCAACCTTATGACCTAGATTTTTAAAATTAGCGGAATTTCTTAATAGCTCAAGGGTTTCGATTAACATATTTTCAAAAGGTATAGCGATATCATTAATAAGGTTCAAATCTAAATCTTCCTTATCGATTAAGTTGTCAGGGGGGGCGTCGGATTCTAAGTCCGTACAATCTGTATTTTTGAGTGTATTTTTGAGGCGATTTTTCCGCTTTTTCTTTTTGTACGTTTTGCCGGTGTTAGGATAGCTTATATCCAAAATATTTTTGGAAGGGGTACATCCCTCTTTAACAGCGGCGTTTAGATTGGCATTTGAATCCTCAATAATAACTACCGCGTCCATAGGACTCTCGGAGATAAGAGGTGAAATCGTATTTTGCTGGTCCTGAACAGGACCATTTTGTGATAAATCAGTAGGTGAGGCCATGAAACTCTGGTCCCACCCAGAATCAAACGTCGCTTAACTATATTCCACAATAAATACATAAAGAGCAAAACTTACTTAGGCAAATTTCAACTAACTAGCACAAATTAGACGCAAGAATACTTATCTTACAATCAGCGTGCTACCTTCGCATCAGAGTCTCAATGTGTCATATCTGATAAAAAGTACAGAATTATATAAGTCTACGAATTGCTTAGAAATAATGGTGGGTAAAAATCTACCAAATTGAATTTATTAAACCAAGAATCACAATTAATAAACTATCACTTGAAAATATTCATTCGCCGTCCGGAGCAAGTTGGCTTCTTTGTGTATATACAGTGGTGGCCAAAAGTGTGGACACTTTTTGAAAGTTTCATGTTTTTCAACTTTGTGTGCTTGTAGAGTATATTAATTTTCACTTAAATACAAACGTTTATATATCAAATTGAAGGTAATTTAATGTAGAATTTAATAATAAATACAGTATTACAATATCTGTATTACAAAAAAAGTTATGCAACTAATAGTAAGATCTATCTTAGATTTGCATTTTTTTAAAGTGATACTTACACAATCAATACTTAGTAGGATAACCCTTATTTTTTAAGACAGCTTCACAGCGTCTTTTCATCGAGTGAACGAGTGTTTGGAGTTCATCTTTCGTAATCACATGGTGCCAAGAATCAATTATAGCTTCACTTAGTTGTCTTTTATTGGATGGACGTTTTTTTCGTACAAGAATTTTCAAACGTCGCCACAAATTTTCAATTGGATTGAGATCAGGGCTGTTTCCTGGCCATGGTAATATATCTATGCCTTTATTTTGAAACCATGCTTTGCATACTTTTGCTGTGTGGCATGGAGCTGAATCCTGCTGAAAAATAAATGGTGCGTTGTTGGGGAAGAGATCCCTGATGGAAGGTATCAATTTTGGTTTCAGGGCAGTTTCGATGTATTTTTTGGCATTCAGGATGCCATCAATCACTTGAATTCGGCCCACACCATCTGCAGATATACATGCCCAAATCATGACATTTGTTGGATTTTTAGTAGTTGCTTCAATGCAATCAGGATGAAGCGCTTCACCTACTCTACGTCTCACGTATTTTCTACCATCACTTCCAAAGAGCGATATTTTACTCTCATCACTCCAGATTACTTGCTTCCATTGATTTTCTGACCATTTAATGTGTTCTTTTGCCGACTTAACTCGTTTTTCGCGTTGCTTTTGATTTAAATATGGTTTTTTCCTTGGAATTCTAGCTTGTAGTCCAAATCCTGATAACCTTCTTCTTATTGTTCTTGAACTTACTGCAATACCAGCTGCATTCATTTCACATCTAATGGCATCTGATGACATTTTTCTATCTTGAAGGCATAGCCATTTAATTTTTCTATCGGTAGTAGCACTTGTGCATTTTTTTCGGCCTGATTTGGCATCCTGAATGCCAAAAAATACATCGAAACTGTCCTGAAACCAAAATTGATACCTTCCATCAGGGATCTCTTCCCCAACAACGCACCATTTATTTTTCAGCAGGATTCAGCTCCATGCCACACAGCAAAAGTATGCAAAGCATGGTTTCAAAATAAAGGCATAGATATATTACCATGGCCAGGAAACAGCCCTGATCTCAATCCAATTGAAAATTTGTGGCGACGTTTGAAAATTCTTGTACGAAAAAAACGTCCATCCAATAAAAGACAACTAAGTGTAGCTATAATTGATTCTTGGCACCATGTGATTACGAAAGATGAACTCCAAACACTCATTCACTGGATGAAAAGACGCTGTGAAGCTGTCTTAAAAAATAAGGGTTATCCTACTAAGTATTGATTGTGTAAGTATCACTTTAAAAAAATGCAAATCTAAGATAGATCTTACTAATAGTTGCATAACTTTTTTTGTAATACAGATGTTGTAATACTGTATTTATTATTAAATTCTACATTAAATTACCTTCAATTTGATATATAAACGTTTGTATTTAAGTGAAAATTAATATATTTTACAAGCACACAAAGTTGAAAAACATGAAACTTTCAAAACTCCACACTTTTGGCCACCACTGTAAATAAAACTTTGTGAGCCCTAGATTGCATTAATTTCTTCAAACCATTTTAGTAGCGATTATAATATAAAAAATATTAAAAATTTACTCGAATTATGTGTTTCTAATAATCTTGGCTTCGCCGGTGGTCACTGGTGACCCCTATGGCATTCAACGTGTTAACAGCAATGGAGTTTAGATAAGAGATCCTCATTGCAGTTACTAATCGAAGAAATTCTTAAGACACGATAACAAGTTTGCAAACGTAAGCTATGTTTTAATTAGGGTGATGGGGGTAAAGTTTTAAGGAGAAAGAGAAACAGCAAAAGTTTTTCAAGAAACATTACTGAAAAACTAATGACAATTACAAAAATTAAGAATGCCTAAAAAAAGGTAAACAATAAGTAGTTTCCTGTTCAAAAGTAAATTGAATGCGATGATCAATAGATTTCAAATTATTCATAAGGTTATTAAGACAATATTCAGGGATTGGACAAAACAGTAGAAACACTATATTATGTGAACCAACGTTCTTTTAGCAACAAATGCCATGGCAAAACTCTTGGGACTTTTTGAAAGATCTTGTTTGAAAGAAATTATGTTTTTACCTATGCAAATTCGAATCGATCAAGATGAGGAGAATTTAATCACTTCATTTTGGCTTTAATACCTACAATTCTAAAGAATTGTAATATTTATTTTACAATATTATAAATAATATTGCAATATTATATTAAAATATTAAATTACAATATTCTTATAACGGTTTAGCGCAATTGCAATGTTTTTACGGGTACATATTTTTTTAATTTATTTTTTCTCGAGTTATGTTATAAAAAATATAATTTTAAATCAAACGCTTCATACTTTAATCGTATATAAAAACAGAAGCATATAATTTTAATTTAACAGATACTTAAAAATAATATTATTACTTTCCCTGGATTTGGCGGCAATTTCAATTGAATACAATTGGGAGTGGGAATGGAGCTGTCCGGGAGGTCGGGAGTTGGTGTCTAGCCCTCAGGAAAATCAAACATTTTAACAAAGGACGAACTGTTTCTGTTAGAAAGGCGTTAACTTAGGATTTGCGTACAAAAGTTAATAATGATAAGAATTTATATGTAAGAAAGTTTTAAATAACTACCACATTTTATTTTAAAAAAAGTTATTGTTAAATATACAATTTTAATGCGGGATAACCTTTATGAACAAAACTTCAAAGTTGATTCAAATGCCGGCAGCAGTTGGCATGTGAAACCCAAGGATCAGGGAAAACCTCGGTTATTCTTAGTAATTAAAGACCGATCAAATTGCTCCCCTCACTTTCGCAAAAAGTATTCGAAAAAATCCTTCAATGAAGACTCCCTTCCAGTTGAACAATATGACTTCTGCAAATTCACTGAATTTGTAGCTAAAGAGCTCTTCAAAAAAGAGGCTACCGTCATGGTCATGATCGATATAGCAAAAGCTTTCGACAGAGAATGGCATAAAGGTCTTATTTACAAATTTTAATATTTCTCTTGGCATTGCCCTTATGATCGACTCATATCCATACCTGCCAACTCTTCCGGATTTTCCCGAAGATTTTATTTTCATATTTAAAGTGGTAGTAATTATATACTATTTTTTCTTTTATAATCTTAATTTTTAAATGATATTGATCACCACTATTCTTACAAAAATTAAGCACATATATTAATATGCGTTACTGTTATGGTTGTCAACTTAAGTTTTCTCAAATACAATGTATTTGTTTGCTTAAAATTGAAGTTTAAATTCCATTTTAATACCACTAGGAAAAATAATAATGGAAGGGATTAAAAGTTGGCAGGTATGCATATCTTAAAGATCGGTCATAGAATCAAACTAAATCAAGATTTCTCTCACTATAATCCAATCATGGCTGAAAGCCCCTATATATCAAGACGAAAAAGAGTAAAAACTGGTATCAAATAAATTTCATTTTTTAATTTTTTTTCGAGAATAATAAAAATCTATAACTACCAATTGTTTTTAACGGATAAAATTTTTAAATTGAATTGCTTCTTCGCTGAGATTAAATTAATTACAGTGAATTGTTTATTGTTAAGAATAGATTAACTCCTCCCGAATATTATCTAATATTGAAATAGTTCTCCTACCAGTATCTTCTCTTTTCCGTCTCGCTTTCAGGCCTGAAGCCAATTAAAGCCTCTGGGAAATATTCTCGGCCCTCTTTTTTATATTATTTACACTTCAGATTTCCCACATATATATGAAAACGAATCATTGCTTTTTACGCTGATGACTCCGCTCTACTCACCAGATCCATCTGGCCATTACACACCATCACCCTTCAGCAACGCAGGGTGAAAAATATAGAGGAATGGCACACTAAAATTCAGTCTCACTCTCTTTAATCAAGCCGACCCTGTTGTCAATAAAGCAAAATATCTTGGTTTAACCATCAATAGTAAACTTAACCTGAAAGAACATATCAACACTTCAATTCACAAGGCACTCGGTCCATTCCACTCAGGGGTGAAAGCGAGACGGAAAAGAGGAAAGGCTGGTAGTAAAACCATTTCAGTTATAGCTAGTTTTGGGGAGGAGTTTACTTATTCTTTTTTTAAAATTTTCAACAATATCTACTTTATCTTGGAAAAGAAGCAGTTTTATATACATGCCAGAATTATAAAAGAAATCTTGATAGTTACAGATATTTCATTTTTTTCGAAAAAAAATGCTGAAATGAAATGTTTTACGTACCAGGTTTTTCTCTTTTCCGTCTTGCTATATAAGGGCTTTCACCCATGATTCCACTCCTTATCAGTTGGAGCCCCTAGCGGAGCTGATGCTAAGATAACCAACACGTATGAGTATGAGTATTCCACTCCTTAAAATCAATGTTCTCAACTTAACCCTTTGCACTCCGAGTCATAAAAATAACAAAAGTCGTAAAGGTAT